AATAAAAGTGAAAAGAGAGAAAATGTTGTCACAATGGCCCGGCTCTCCCTGAACGAACAATCGCCGTTTTGCAAAGACTGGAAACAGTTTTCATTCTGAAAGGTGCTTCTTTTCCCAACAGACGGAGCTCTAACATTACAAAACTGGCGAGCAGCGGGGCGCCGGAATCTCAGGCCGGACTCGGAGCTTTTGTGACAACTTCTCTTCTCTCTCTCCTCCTCGGAGGTTTTTGAATGAGAATGGGACACCGCTCCCCCCTCCTCCTCCACCCCTCTGGATTCTATTTTTTTTTTTTATTTGGGGGGAGAGAGGTCTTTCTCTCTTTTGTGGCCAGAAATCTTTTTTTTCCCCCTTCTGATGCTTCAATAGACTGAAGCCCTTTGTAAGCCAAGTTCATCTTCAAGTGTGAGATAAAAGAGGGTCGCTGGGTGGAGGAGCCGCCATTGTGCCCGGCGCTGAAACTTACACAAATGTTTGATTAGGTCATTGGGAGCTTTACTGGGTCGGATCAGCCCCGGCACCTGGACCGAGCCTGTCCAATGTCTCAATACACGGGGGGATTATCGCACACCCCTCAGACCCAATTTCTTTTTTTGCAAACCGCCGCGGAGTCCCTGTCACCCCCCAACTGTCAGCCGCCTGTCACTGTCAGGGGGTCGCCGTGTCACTGTCATTTGACACATCAGGTTGTCACCTCGGCATGTGTGACTGTCACCTGCATGATGGGCACCGGCCGGGGACTCCTAATCGGCGATGATTGCTGCAATCGGTGAGCTGTCAGAGCCGCTTCCAGGGGACCGATTACCGCGCCGCACAATCTGTTTAACAAATTAACATCCAATCCCCCCGCAGCCGCCTATAAATTATTGATCAACGACCCCGATCATTGCTCTGTCAGTGCTGGGGAAATAGTACACAGACCATCGCACAGCACAGGGGACCAGCCACACCAGCCACATATATCACACCGAGAACACCAGAGAGAGGAGAGAGAGATGATAGATGGAAAGAAAGCCGCCCAACTGTTGTAGAACTATCAGTCCCCCAATGCTGGGACTTGTAGTCCCTCAGTGCTGGGAATTGTAGTCCCTCAGTGCTGGGACTTGTAGTTCCTGGTCAACTGAAAAGCTGCTGGATTTGGATTCCCAAAAAATCAGATTGCCAAACTTTTGGTGCAATTATAAAATCCGATTTCTACAATAAAACAATCGTAATACCGAGCGATATTCCACCACCGCCCCCCACCCCTCTCTATCTCCTCTCTCACTCATCTCTCTCTCCTCTCTCTCTCTCCCAACCCCCTCTCTCTCTCCCCCTCTCTCCTCTTTCTCTCTCCCCCCACTCTCCCATCTCTACTCTCTCTCTCTC